TTGGCTGCCAGCCCAGTGAAACCACCACACTCAGGGACACCACAAAATCTCCCAGTCTCCCCCTGATCCTGCTCTGGGACAGCAAAACTACCCCACTAGAACAGCTGGGGCTGATGTATTATCCAAAAGTTAACGGCACACAGAGATCACAGTCCCTGCCATAGAGCCAAGGGAAATGAAAATCAGACCTCTCGGTTTATAAGCAGCAGAAGTCGCCTGTTCCCCCCGAGGGGGCATGGGAAAGGCAGATTAAACACGGGGGTTTCGGGGAGGGGCATGAGCAGCCACAGGGCACAGTACTCACTCAACAGGGAGAGAAAAATGGTAAGAGGGCTTTGGACTGAAATGCCCCTTTTTTGAGGGTTTCTCAGCTCCTTCAGACTTTCAGAGCTGTCCTCGCTGACTGGAGATCCACACACTCATACGGCACTCAAATGGCTCCTGATCTGTCCCTTCTACCTAGAGCTGGATAGCAGAACCCCCATGAGTTTATACCCAGCCTGTCCCTGGGTATTTCCCTTGGAAATACCATAAGCTCCAGGTTAAATTCCACTCTGTATTTTCCAAGAGGTGGTGGCCAGGTGGTTCAGCCACCCTGGAAAAAAATCATAAGCCCCAAGTTAGATTCCACTTTATATTTTCTAAGAGTTACACAAAAATCAGTTCCCAAATACAGGGAAGATTCCAAGGACTCGGCATCATCCTCACCCCATTCCTCCTCTCCCACCTCACTGTCATCTCCATGGCATATCTCAAGCTGAGCTTTGAAAGGATACTGAGTGATAACGTTCATCAGGAGGTAGAACCACATGATTGGCAGGGTCAGCCCGATCACTGGGACCTGGAACGGCTCTGTGGGGAGAAAGGATGGAGTAAGGTTACTGCTCTGCTACTGCTTAAAGAAGATGACAGGAGAGGTGTCACCCTCCTGTCCAGGACTGACCATGATCTGGGGCACACTGCAGCTTCAGGAGGCCGTTGCTGCATTAGGGCAGATGGAGGTGTGGGCACATTTTGATTTTGCTCCAAATGGAGAATTATCTTGTTCTTACTCTGGTAAATTACAAATATATAAAGAGTTTGCAGATGCTTCTGCTTGGACTTCATAGAGAAGAAAGGAAGATGGAGGAAGAAGACATTAAAAGAAAAGCTGTGTCTTGCTTTCTTGTGTCAAGCCTGTGTAGCACCAGCAAAACAAAAGCCAACAGGTCTGTTTTTACACCTGTAACCAGGATTTGGTCCTGTTACTCTCATTTTTTAACTACCACATACCTCTCCTCAGGGGTCACCTCATGGTTTCCTTGAGATAGGTGTAGCACGCTAGAAATATTTTGCAGTTATATTAATGAACAGGTTAAAGTGATCTACACATGCAAACAATCTCCCTACCCAGAGGGGATTAGAGAAGCAGCAAACCTATTCAGCAAAGATTCATACAGCTTCACGAGACTCTTTGAGATTCACATGGAGAAGAGAAGGCTCCGGGGAGACCTTCTAGTGGCCTCCCAGTACCTGAAGGGGCTCCAGGAAGGCTGGGGAGGGACTTTGGCCAAGGGCAGGGAGTGAGAGAACAAGGGGTGATGGCTTTAAACTGGAAGAGGGGAGATGGAGATGAGATGTGAGGAAGAAATTGTTTGGTGTGAGGGTGGTGAGACACTGGCCCAAGTTGCCCAGAGAAGCTGTGGCTGCTCCTCCCTGGAAGTGTTGAAGGCCAGGTTGGATGAGGCTTTGAGCAACCTGGTCTAGTGGAAGGTGTCCCTGCTGCTGGCAGGGGGGTTGGAACTGGATGAGCTTTAAGGTCCCTTTCAACCCAAACTATTCTGTGATTCTATGATTCTAATATCAGGGATATAGGAAGTTTGTGGCACTGAAAAGCCTGATGAATTTTACTATTAAAAAGCAGATGAAGAGCTCAGGGTGGATGGACAAGGAATCTGCCTGGGCCCAAAAACTGTAACTCAGTTTCGGTTTGCAAGCTGCAGTGGCACCAGCTGCCCGTGGCCAGGCTCTCAGCAGTCAGCAATCACCACTTGTCCAAGCGTGCTGGTATCTGGCCCACCATGGGGAAAAGTTTGGACAATGTGGGATTCTTTTTGGCTTTTGACTTTCTATCAATCCTGAAAATTCAAAGGGCTTGAATATCCAGAGACAACAGTTTGATGTGCACAACTGCTGGACTGAAAGCTGCCTACAGCATTTTCCACAGGAAGGTACAGAGAGCAAGGATCCATCTGTCCAACACTCACCTGACTGGCTGAAGAGAACTGCATGGTGGTAGATGTTTGGGGCAAGGAGAAGAAAGCCAGGGAGTGGTAACGCGTGCTGGAGAGAAAAGTAATGACATGATGTTAAGAGATTATGTGAAGCCACCCCACTGCTCACCCTGGGAAACCAGAAGTGCGCGGGGCCAAATGGATGGGGCCGGGCTCTTCTCAGTGGTGCCCAGTGACAGGACAAGGGGCAATGGGCACAAACTGGGACACTGGGAGTTCCAGACAAACTTAAGGAGAAACTTCTTTCCTGTGAGGGTGTTGGAGCCCTGGGACAGGCTGCCCAGAGAGGGGGTGGAGTCTCCCTCTCTGGAGATG